CGTCTTCCTAATCTGAAATTGTTAAATAAGGAATGAGTTACACTAGCCCAGTAAAGACATCACACTATCTCACTGCCACGGAAGTAAAGGCGGGTAGAAAACAAAAATAACCAATAGAGCATCATTTATAACAAATTCATTTATCAGTAATAAAATCTTTTACTGTCCACTTATCTCGGCGAGATCTATGAAAACAACATATGAAAATAATAACCTTATAATATCATGAAATCGTACACACTTTATAACATAACATATATCACACCTTTACATTTCAATCATCAGAAAATAGATTTCCTCTTTTACCAACCTACTAGTATCTCTGGGGATCCATATGAGGTCCCCTTTACACGTGAACCATTAACATTTATAACATGATTCCAGGGCTGTTCTCATACCCCGTCCGGTATGGGCGCTAAAACCATGAACCTCAATACCCCGTCCGGTATGAGGGTGAAACGGGCCGTCCCCATACCCCGTCCGATATGAGAGACCACGTTCCCGGTAGGGTTCTCTACGGACCCGGTCCGTCCACAATCTCCCAAGATATCGAGTCAGACTGTCCACATTATCCACTTATTAATTCACATAACCTTTTTGCCCTTTTTCTTGGTTTTAATCATCCAAACACACACAACATGTAAACTAGTGATGGACACCAAACAAGACAACACAGTACCGGGTTCACCATAATACAAACCATAATAAAAGAAACCATGATTCATGCATACGAGACTATAACATAATTACATCAAACATCATGCTACATTTAATACTGGAAATTAAATCAAACAATAACAGACCAACACTGTATCAGACTCGGGTTCCATTGGCAACCTTAATCAATTATACATTCATAAAGTCACACAGTACAGTTTAATTATTTATTTAGCTTTAATACCGTGATAGGAAATAGGGTGAGGGGTCCTTACCTGTTTTGGGGTCTGAATTCGACTCTACAGTGCGCCTACAGGCTATTCCTAATTTCCCTGAATTTTTTTTGAAAAACTGAAACGCACTACCGGTACCTGCACGTGTCCCAAAAAAGTCCCAAATCAGACCTAGGGCCCCTTTCGGCCAATATCGCAATTCCAGCACGGCGGCTCCGCCGTGCTCCGGCGACGGCGCCGCCGCTTGCGGCGGCATTTTACCTCGGGTTGGCCGTTTTTGGCCGAATTCGGCCACACTCGTATCGGCCCCTGTGATAAAACAACTCTAAGGCCCTTGGTGGGCCAAAAAATCACGAAAAACCTAAACTTACCGGCGGCAGTGCTCTTGGGTGCGGTGGCTCCTCTGGCGTGAGTCGTGTTTTGATATTTGGCTCCGATCAACCTGTAGAAAAGAACGGTGATTACAGTTGTATAAAATTTGCATCGAACGGAGGTCGGGAAGGGCCTCATCGGAGGCAAAAACCTAGGAGGGGCGCGGCGGCGCCGCTGGGCTTCGGCTAGGTTTTCCGGCCGTTTGACCGGTGGTTTGACTCCGGTTTGGCCATAGGCGGACTCAGCATCGAAAAACGAGTAAGGGGGAGAAAATTTACCTCGATCGGCGGTCGGAAACTTTCCCGGTGTGGCGGCGGGTGGCGGCGGCCGGCTCCTCCGACGTCTGGTTCTTCTTCTCCGGCGAGACACTGGCGGCTAGTGTTTTTGTGGTCAGGTGTGGGTGGGGTTATTTATACCTTTTACCTTTTAATCTCAACCGTCCATCAAGATCAAATCTGGGCCGTTCGATCGTGATTTAATCTGGATCGTCCGTGCCTGATTGAATCTGGACTGTCCGTGCGCGTGAATCTGGGCCGTCTGTGCGCACGTTTGATCTGGGCCGTCCGTGTGCGCAGGAACAGATCTGGGCCGTCTGATCGCGCGCACGCGGATCGCCCATGTGGCTCGTCCCCTAGTCAGCGTTTCCTTGCCACGCGGCGCGTCCTGGTTGGCTGGGGCTGCTGACCGGGCTGCTGACGTGGCTGCTGATGTGGTGCTAATGTGGCACAACTTTTCTAAATTGCGTTTGCACCTCCGGTTTTCGATTCTCTTTTCAAAAATACACCAGAATCTAAATTTTCACATCTTTTTTCCAAAATCAATTTCAATTAAATCCAAATAATATTTTTACCCAATTTTATCATTATTATTATTTTTATTTTCATGAAATCAGATTAAATAAAATAAAATTAAATTAATTAAAAACAAAAAAAAATTCTAATACAAAATAAAAATAATGATGCTTGGGTGTTACAGAAGAATTAAGAAAAAAATCAATCACTTTTCGATACTTTTCCAAACTATTTTCATGACGAAAGAGAGAGAGGGAGATTCAGAAGAAGAAAAATTTCGTATATGTATTCGAAAATTAAGAAAAATGGTGTCTATAACTAAACTCTCATTATATTTATAATCTTGTATCACATTTTTATTCTTCTCATAATAAGGTACACTCAAGAACATATATAATATAAACTATATAAAAGTGGAGAAGTGCAAATTACAAAAGAAATTAAGAGAGATCATCACATCTTCAACCCTTTTGCACCCACCTAATTAGTATATAGTCATATATATATATAGAGATATAGAATACCATAAAAACACACATATTAGTTGACAATACACAACAAAGTCATAATTAAATTAAATTAACACGTCAAAAATGAGAATATCATAGAGGAGGACACGATATAAACTCGTGGAGTTAGCACTGACGACCACCATAGAAATTCCCATGCATGCTGAGATAGCTCCAATCCTATGTTAATTAATTAGGGCAAATGAATACGTACTTTCTTCCTCTGATCTCTCTCTCTTTTTCTCTCTTTTCTTTTTTTGTTTTTCCAAATCTTGATTCCCCCATTTTTCTTCTCCCTTCATCATAAAGATCAAGAGGTAAACCTATAGCAACGAGTAATAACACTGCAGCCACGTTTATAAGGGTTAACCCTATTTCTTTTGCGACAGTTGTAGTACGAAGCTCCGCGACGCTTGCATGGAATATTGTTAGCCTTGAGTGCTCCATAGCTTATATACCTTCTATTCTGAGCGAGTGTTCGACGGCTGATCTCCGACTCCATCAATCCCTCGTCGTCGTCATCAATGAGACAATCTCCATTGGCACAGGACTTGCCGAGAGCCCAGTTGGCATTAACAGACTCGGCCATTATAGCCATGAAAAGGAGGGCAAAGATAAACAACAATTTGAGATCCATTAAAAATCTCAAGGTGACAGGAGAATTTCTCTCTCTCTCTCTCTCTCTCTCTCGTTTCTTCTTTTTGCAGAGAAGAGAAAAAGAAATTTGTTAAAAAAGAGAGATTGAAGTTGCAATTGCAATGAATGTAGTACCTCTATGCCCTTCCTGATAAAAGGAGGGGAAGAGAGAATAATATAGATCTGTGAAGAGCCATTAATTTACAGATTAATAATAACAATTAGAAAAAAATGGGGACACAGACAACTTAGGAATTTTGTGGTCGTTAATGTTGTTTGAAATAACTTGAATCTGGTTTTTGAAAGGGTGTCCTTGTTTTTTGCTCCTAGTTTTTCTCTGATCTGTTCTTTAACTCTGTAAAAGAAAGACAAATGGTCTAAAATTAAGGGCCTTAATTTCCGATTTTGTCATTCTAATATTTGGAATTATTTAATTAAGCTTCTTTTTCCCTTCGAGCACACCAAGAATAGGTCTTCTTTTCTTCCTTCTTCTTCTTCTTCTTCTTCTTCCCTTCCACACACCATGTTTGCAGACCCATCAACTAATTATCTCTTTCTCCCCTTCTTATTTTATCTTTGGAAATACTAGATCTTCCTTTTCTGTATTGTAGAAAAAGAAATCTCATAATTAATTCCAGCTCACAAACTCATGCATCGAACCAGCAGAATGGTTCATACATATATATATATATATAGCTTATTTTGAGGGTAATGGAGATTATCTAAAACTTTGAGTTGAACTCGTAAGTTTTGTTAAAAATTAATGGATTAGATTTGTTCTTGTTAGAGTATAAGTAAGTTATGACATTAGCAAGCAAGACTCAATATGAACAGTAGTTACACATGAACAACATTTATATATATATATATATATATACATTTATATTTGCATGCATCACTTAATCACCTTTATATATACACACATATATATATATATATATATCCATTATAAGACATTTTGCGAAACTATTTTCTCTGGATCAAACTAAGCAATGAGAATATCCTTTTCTAATATTGATTTGTGAGTTTATGTTGGCATGCATGGTGTAGGAAGATGTTATACCAACAAAGTGGCCCATATCACGAGCAATAAATGTGTTCTAAAAGTTATTTTCTTAAAAAAAGAAAGAAAGAAAGAACTAACAAATTGAAATACTACTTTGAAGGTGACAGTGCCCTTAGGTATATTTTCCTTCTTGTGTTCTTTAAGATGTAGAAGTATTTCATTATGCTTGAGATAAGATATTGGTTGGTTAAACTTAAAAGAAATTAGATTATACTTCTTTATATGTAAAAATATGTCTTTGAGTTCAAAGAATTTCACTATTAAAATCTCTCTCAATCAATAAGTTTTTTCAACATTTGATGATCACGTCTTAAAACTAAACTAAAATTGAGAAAAAAATTTTAAAGTGCACTCGATAATTTAGAATATATTTTTTTTAATTATTTTTTTTATCATTATAGACTTGTTCAATCTTGTTTTTACTTTTACAAATTCTTTCCATCTTAAGTTTACATTTTTAGTTTTCTAAATATTTTGGACTTTTTCATCTTTTAGTTTTTTCTTTTCTTCTTTTGTAATTCTTTTTTTTTTAAAAAATAAGAGCTCTCGATGAGTGATTGGTGCATGCCAAATGTGATTGGCATATGTGCCAATCATACTCCGAAATGCTAGTAATTTTATCTTCTCTTATCCTTCAAAAACACAACCTTTGATCTCCCCTACTTTGCACTCCCAAAATTTTCTTTTGTCATCAAATATTAAACATAATTTATACATATTGTCATGTTTAACCTTTATTTTTTCATTTTTTATTACTAATCTTGAATTTTATTTGTAGGTCTCGAGTATGTACCTCAAATGTCTATTATTGAAATGACGACCTCATCATTAAGTTATTTTCCTTAATAACATGTGTACTAAAATTATGCAACAACAACAAGACTACAATCCAAACCATGCATGACAGTTATCATAGTGAGGCCAGTACGTGTCTTCAAACCAATCAAAACTTGGAACCCCCAACCATGTGAAATGATGCCCTGACCAAGAACAACTCCTAAAAACATAACAAAGCAATACTCTAACTCCTAAGGAGTCATCTAAGGCCGTGTACATTCATGTAAACACTAAATTAATAATTTTAATTTGACATGTTAGTTAACATTCTTAAACACAACACGGAGCTTCATTTAATTCTCTATTAAGTGTCCTATCGATACTAACGAGAAGGTACATAAACTAGTATAAATTATTCAAATTATGTCGTGTTCTTTAAAATTTAGTATCTATAAATATACTGCAACAAAGAAAATGGTAACGTTTTCTCAATTTTGAGCTCCTTAGCATCTTATTTTGTTATTGTTATTCTCTCTTGTCATTGCTATGTACTTGATAATTGGAGGATTCTAATCGGAGGTACTTCGACTTGCTTTATTAACTATTTATTTGTTTCGTAAAATTATAAAATAAAAAATTTTAACCTCACAACATTATTTATTATTTTTTAAAGCTAATAATATTTTTTTATCTAAGAGAC